CTGCCTGCCTGCCTGCCTGCCTGCCTGCCTGCCTGCCTGCCTGCCTGCCTGCCTGCCTGCTTATTTCACTTCTGGTGTACGTGTTGACTTGTCCGGGATACAATAACTACGAATCATTTAAAACGAGCTTGTTCGCCACCCCTTGTTTTATTTTAAATACTGATTTCAATCCTCCATATGACTTAACAGTCTCCAAGTAGATATATTATCGACCCTGAAAGATACTTTCCGAGATGTTTCGCTAATACATTACTATCAATATCGTAACATCATCGATCAACGTAGAGACCACGCTTTTAAATCTTGTCAATGTCGACAGCTACACAAATACACGGAACTATCGTAGAAAGACTATATCCTGAAACGGACCAAATCAAAGACATTCTCAGGTACAATCCTCAGTTCATCGATTCAACCATACACTCGGAAGCACTAGACTGGGGTTTCGCACTTATTAGAGCTCATCAGTAGTGCATATCCCCCGTTCCGTCCGGGATTTTGAACTTCGGTGGGAACGAAACTGAAATTAAGTGATAAAACAAAGCAATGCACCACTGATGAGCTCTAATAAGAGCGAAGCTCGAGTCTAATGCTTCCGAGTGTATGGTTGAATTGATGAACTGAGAATTGTGCTTGAAGGTGAAGTCCGAAGGATAATCAGTCAAATCAATCAATATTCCTACTCAAACGTAACTGTGAGTCAAATGCGAACATTCTCAGGTACTAAACCTTGAAAATCTGGTCAGAAACCTTTCTGATAGGACATTGACATCGGCATTACAAATTTTACCAAAAGGTCTGAATTTCAATTTATTGAGGAAACACCTTGGAATAGAGGAAGTGGTTCCTACACCAGAGCAAGCATTAACGAAGCTTTCAAAGGAAACTGCCAATGAAGCCTGCCTGGGAATATGTAATGTTCTTAAGAAGTCCAACTCTCCGAACATATGAACAGAAGAAAGAAACGCTCTGTCCTCCTTGAGGCGTGATACCTCTATTCACATCACAAAGGCAGACAAAGGCAACATTACGGGTATCTTGAACAGTTCAGACAATTACGTCAAGGTTCTCGAACATCTGAACAATGGATCCTATGGTACCATTGAAGAAAGCAAAGCAAATGTTACGTTAAACAAAAGCAAGGCTTAAACGAGCAAATAGTTTTTCAACCATAAAAGAAAAGCTAGGCAAGTCGCTGTGGTTCTCTCTGGCACCCAAGACGAATAAATCTGGAGAATTCTTAACGAAATTTCACAAAGCCAATATACACATTCGCCCAACTGTAGACTCCGTACTCCGTGCGAACTACAAATTAGCCATTATCTCAGCATTCTTTTAAAACCTTGTCAAAAAAATTGTGGCGAGTCAAGTCAATGATGCTTTTTATTCTGCCCGCATTCCACAGACTACTGAGTGATGAAGTTGCTATCAGTTTTGATGTGATATCCTTGAACACGAGTGCTCCCATTAGAAACAGTTTAGATGTCTTACATTCCATATTGATCTCTGACGCATCTTTAACAAAACATTCAATCCACGAAAGAAAAATGCAGCTCCGACTGAATACAATTCTGTGACAAATGGGGTCGAAAGAAGACACTTGTCGCGAGATGCCCACATTCCGTTCAATATTCTCAGTCGCTAACGTGAAACAAACGGGCACACAAATAGCACATTGAGTTGGTAAATCCCGGTGAACGAACACGCACAGACTAACCCAACGCTCTACATATGTGCCTGTTTGCTTTACGTCAGCGATTTATCTTCTTTCGGTTTTGATATGAGGGATAAAGGGGAAGCAGCAGTGTGTGGTGTTTGCCAGTTTAGTTTGAAGCGAAAATATCCCAAATTGGTGTTTCGAATGCTCTCCGTTTGTTGTCTGGGAAAAGACAATGTACCCCGGTTTGTATTGCAATAACTGAACTAATTTTATATTCCCTTCTTGTGGATTTTTTTCTAGATGGCGGTCCGGGGCTTTGTAATGGTCAGTCGGTTTAGGGTCACTTCCGTTGGCGTGATTTTAGCTCGAAGGTCTGAAGGTGGAACTATACCAGTGACATCCAATCTTAGTGGCAACCGAATTTACAGGTGTCCGGGTTTACTAGCTCCTCCACCTCATGTGGTTCACCACTTCAATTTCCAGAGCTATGAAAACCTACCAGCCATTACATTACAAAGGAACTGTAGGTTTTCGTGACTATGGGTTCCACCCTGTCTGCGTTCCATCAAAATAAAAGCGTAAGTTGAGCTGGGCAATCAACACGTTTGCTAAACGTGGTCTTCCAAATCCCTTCAGAAACGAGGAGCACACACTGTCTTCATAATGCAAACGATTTTAGTCGGCATTCTCGGCCTTTTATTACTACGTATGATACACTGAAACATTGTACAGTTTCATCTGTCGTGATGTTTTTATTCACCATATCTTTTGCAAATCAAGTTGTCTGAATACCATTTGAAGATGTCCGCGTATCAATCATTTCAAAGGTAGGTAGAGAAATCTGTGCTGCATGGTGTTCATCTAGATATCTCTGGGAGGCTTGTCAGCGCCGATGAGNAACGAGACACAGCTTGAAATGAAGCACAGATATCTTAAAATAATGCTCAAACAACTTGAAGTGATACCCGGATATCTTCAAATGATATTCTAACAAAGTGAATTACAAACGTTATATACAAAAACATTATCATGGCTATGCGGTATGTGATGGTGATGACCCGCCATTTCTATCTTCTTCTATCTGAAAGCTGCTTTCGATTCAGTCGAGTGCTCTAAACTCTGGCGCTGCATCCCTCGTAAGGGTGTACCCCAGAAGTTCATTTGATTTCGCGATCTCTTTGTGGCAACAGCCGAAGCCGACTCCGAGCTTACGGCACTTTTCCGCCCCACTTCACTACAGAAAGTGGTATTCGATAGGATTACCCTCTCACCCCATTCCTGTTCAACTTCGTCATAGATTCAATTCTTGAAATAGTTCTATTCCTCTGAGGATAGTGGCATCGATTTACTCCCAGGTTGCAGACTGCATGATCTGGAGTATGCAAACGACATTGTGCTGCTAAGTGAAGATCCAGGTAAGCTGCAAGCTTTTATGGATAGTTTGAGTGCTAGTGTGTCCATGTTTGGTATACGTTTTGCACTTTCAAGATGTAAAATGCTGCTACAAGTTTAGGTTGTCCAGCCTCCAACCTCACCCTGGCTGGGGAAGTAATAGAGCAAAAGGACAAGTTTTGTTATTTGGGCAGCTATATCTCACCTGGCGGATGAGTCACATATGAAGTGTCGGCAGGCATTCAGAAGGTTCGATTAGCATTTACCCCTATGGTGTCGTCGCGACATCCGACTTTCTGTGATGAAAAGATGTCAAGGGCGGTCAAACTTAGACCTGGTATGAGGGTATGAAAACCCTAACCAAAAAACTGGGTCACATAAGTCCCGTTTGGCTCCCTGAATGGGGACCCCGAGGGGATTTTCAACGATGCTTAGAGGCACTGAGCGATATAGTTCGGTGTCGCAAAGGGTGGCGTTCATGCATCTACTCACTAACTATTATTGCAACCCCAATCTGTACAAATTCTCTATCTTCCGATTGAATTTCCTCTCAACCTTCCAATCTTCGTTCCGCTTTTGTATCCAAATGGAAAGCCAAAAGACAGCAACCAAAACCGGTGCACGAAATTGCACGGTTAATGATCGTAAAAACTGAAACGGAAACCGATGGTGCTGACCATCGGAACCGGGTCTCTCGCTATCTCACTCTCTCGGTTGCGTATTGTGTACAGGTGTTGACGTCCAATGTGTGGATGACAGCGATCAAAGGCTGTGACTCACATTCGTTTGTCTATCCCCAAACATTGTACTGAAAAAACTACAAACATTTAACCGTCTAATTTAGTTTGACAAGTGGAACTCAACATTGATAATCCTTGTACGGATATCATAGTACCATATCACGCGCGAGGGGATTGACGATGAGATATCAGTCGCGGATAGAAGAGACAAAAACAAATGATAATTATAATTCGGTCTCCGGCTACTATTTCCCATTCGATTTGCCTACAATCCACTGTGGTCGCGCGAAACGTCTCCACGATCTCAAATTGACGGTCCCCGCCTCTGCTCGAGACAGTAGTGAGTCTACAAACTCAGTTTGGATGCACACCTGGATATCGAGATTGTAATAGAACGAGCGACACATTGCGTGCAAATGACATCTGGAACAAAGAAAGAAAGTCCAGACTTTGCAATTCGGAAGAAACATTGCGATGGGTAAGATAAATTTTCAAGTATTTATTTATATTAGCGTCTGAAGTACAAATTAGCGAAACAACGGTTTACTTTTCATTAACCCTGTTACATATTATATAGAAAATTACTAAAATCTGCTCATATAGGTAGACCCAATCAGCACCAATCATCAAACCGTTCTTATAACATGATCGATATGTTGATAGCTTACGGTCTTGATGTTACTGGACGATGAATTCGTTGGGTTGTGATCCATCTTGGACTATGGAAATTGAGATGACTCAAGCGGACGCTTTTGTGCACGGAGGTCAGATGGCAATCTTCATTATCAGATCGCCTGGGCTATTGTGACGTGCGCATTTGACCACTCTTAGATTTGCTTGGAAGCTGTGTCTGATGCCCGATGTCCGCCCAGTGCACGAGGATAATAGTGTTTGTCGCTTCGGTTGGCCCTTGATCTAATCATCGTGTGTAGGATTTCTTTTATTCCGGAAAGATAACTGTTAGGTAGTTTGATCAACTCAAAATACGTCCCAATCGCTAACTGTGGGTAACCAAATGAATTGTGCTCCTGTACTGTTGCAAACGGCTTGATGATAAATGACTGAAAATGTTTTTATTTTTCATTGTCTGTCCGATTTCGGAGAGTTTTATTTGTGAAACTGAAAGATCTGAGGTTGTGGTTGGATTTGAATCCATGCCTTGAGGCCGTCATCGGCCCAGTTTGTCGTATGCACTACAAGTTGGAGTATTTTACCGAATCCATTATGGTGTATTCCTCATACGCTTCAGTTGTGTCGAAAACGTTCAGTTAGAAAACCAATGGAGAGAATTTTAGACGTGAGTTCGCGGAACAAATGAGGATCCTTTGAAGAGACCACTATATATATCAGTCACCGTTTACCGCAAATCAGATTACTACTGCCAATGCCTGTGGTGGTGGTGGTGGTGGTGGTGGTGGTGATAAGGGGTTTCAGACTGGTGTAATAAACCCAACCAACGAAGATAACCAAATTATTTTTTCTATCACTTAACATCCACTCGACTGAATACTGATACGTATCGCAAAATTTGACGTGATTTCCCCGTATGATACATTTCAGTGGTAAACGATTAGTTACAGATAAAAGTTCCAAGGTGATTGAAAATATCATTGTTTATGAACTTCAATCTCAGTGCGATATTGCGTGTATTCGGCCTGTTTCCGTTTCTGGGTTGTTGAAATCATTTGCATGAAATGGTTTTAGCACATCCGCCCGTTCTCGACAATTATTTTCGTGGGGCCATAAATTTTGGTGCGCTAATGTTTGGTTCTGATACTCTATTGTGCTCCGACGCAGATTCTATAGTTTAATGGACAAACCCGATTTTATATCTTACACAGATATTTTGTGAAGACGGGACCACTAATGATTGCCAAACCAGATGATACCGAGGCTGAATAGAACAATCACGGGATGTAACGAAGTAAATCTGTTATCGGGATGAAAATCCGGAACAGTCATACTCACTCTCCCCGGAAAACGACCAAACGCTCATTTTGATCCGCATTTGGCGAATCGTTTGCATTCGCGGGGACAATGATATTCCGTCCTAAATCCGTTCCTCCCCTCACCCCCTCCCTCACACACACACACATCGTATCGGCTATTGAGTGAACGAATAACCACATACCTGACCCCTGTAGTCGATAATTTAATGGGGTTGGAAAGTACACCATTGACAACAGAAGAATGATCAAAATAGGTTGTTTTTCCGACAACGTTAACCAGATCCCTCTGAAGTAAACCGGTGATTTTATCGGAAATATGCTACACAATGAAAACCACGCATAACTATGCAAATTGCATGAATTGATTGCTATTGTAGAATACAAGATCTGGTCAAAATCTGATGTGTACACCGGTGGTAGGAGTGATTGTAACATGTATTATCCACATATGCTCAGGGTCTCGTTTCGAAGGCTGAAAGTACGCACTATGCCATTCGATCCAGTTTCCCAGGAGTGAAATGAAAATGACCCACAGCTGAATCTCTCTACTCGGTTCAATCACCGGATCCAATAGATCGTAATCCATCTTCCTTATAGTTAATACAGAGTTCTCATGAGCCGAATCACCGTGGTTCTAACTCAGATCTGGGTAACTAATGTACGTGTCCTTCACAAATCGCTCAGGGTGTGAATTTAGTTCGGGGAGATCAGATACTGGCTACATTCACCGATACTTTCGTCTCCTAAATGACCAATAATATGCACTTTCAGTCTTCACGGAATGAAATCTATTTTGCTAAGTCAAGCGAGCAGGATACAGTTTTGGACGAGACATTTTGTTCCCTCTCTTTCGCGAAAAACATCTCGTCTAAAGCGGAACAGTGTATTGCACCAGGCAAAGCTAAGTGCTCCTGTTCGTCAGTTTGTTCTCATTTTTCATGAAAAGCAATCAGGACCGCTAAAATCGCACATATCAGAGAAACCTCAGCAGCAGTAGCAGCAGCAGCAGATCAACGAATACTCCGGAGTAACACCAATGTAGAAGCATCAACTGAAGCTTATAAATGTTAGAAAACAGCAGCCAAATTATCGAATGCAGAATTTCGCAAACACACAGAGTGAGAAAGATGGACAAGCGATCGATCGGGAGATGGACGCACTGGGATCTGGGAGGAACTATAATTAATCTCGAAACACCAAATGAGAACACACGCACAGAGGTTAGCAGCTCTCATCAATAAATCATCCTCTTGTCCGTACAGATCACATGGACGCTCAGCACGTTTCAGGAATGATTTTATTCTCGTCAAAGCAACTGTCTCACCGGATCCGGGAGAGGGGAGGGGAAAAGGGTATTTGACCGGACGGGTGAACTGGTCATATCATGGAGACTAGCATGTGACACCTATGTTCGCACAGTGTGGTGCACTATGCGTGTAATCAATTCACGGTCGTGCTCGATGTATCGTGTGAGTTGAATGCTTTCGGGGGCGCACGAGGCAAATCGAATTGGACGAAAGCGATACAACTCAATGGTGGCTAATGCGTGAAGGGTGGGGACCCCTCACGAAAGAGAACGCCGATTAACGCGCATTTGAATGTTTGCAGTCTAATGACCGAGCCTCGTCAACTTTGATTAGCTAAGAATCAACCCTGACATGTACTGAACGCAAATGTGATCGGTTTCTATTCTGAAATGATGTGTTGAACACAACTGATCACCATCAAGTGTGCTTGTTCTCATGTTACGGTGAATGTGTTTCGCGACTCACCTTAGTGCACAATGCATCAATGTGTTTTCCAAATAACTAATGAAACAGCCAGTTGTTTTGTCCGATTTGGCGACCAGTTTCCTTGGATTAATTGTTGAATCCAAAGTGAACTTCTCATGTCGAACCACAGTTCCACCGTTTGTAACTTCACGGAAACTACAAGCGAATGTGTGGCGTCCAACTTCCGTATTCGTTCTCTCGATAGTTCCGTTGGATGTAATAAACGCCACTCTGTCGTCACTATCAACATCGTGTGTACGAATATCAGGATCGATTGATTGCCGTTCAGACGATGAAGCCATGTCTCCGTAAATCCAATCTTTGCCTCCCGCCGGACTGGTCTCGGATAGCAAAGCATGCAAATTAATCCACATGGATTTAGACTTTTGGAGCCCGGGTTCTTCACCCGTGTATCCTATGGGGACCATATAACCGGTCTTGTTGTCATGAAGCGCGTACCGGTAGCATTGTCTGTGAGCAGCGCAAAATTCGACTTCGCGGGGGAATGCAACTGCGTCCGAATTGGTTCCCTCGATTTCAGAAAATAAACGGGTATGCAGAAACGTGATGAACACTGTGTGCACCAGGATCATCGCAAACGAATTCTCACAAGCGCATTCATCACATGTCGCTTTATATTTCTCACAAAATGACCGCCAACTATCTATGAAGCTCAGATCCGTCCTCCCGTCCCCCAATGCACTGTGCTGCTAACCACCGTTCCAATCATCCTCTAGGCAAAGTCAGACAAGCAGGGATTCCACAGTTTGTACACTGAACTTTCTTTTCTCAGACAACGTAAACAAATAGGAAGATAACACGAATGAGAGCGAGCGCGTTTCCTACTCGCATTGGTCCATTGGAGCGCGGGCAATGACTGCGAACCCCCCGATCAAACACTACCTGTATTCGGAATTTGAAGTAACAAAAACTCACAACCAAACACCGGAAAACAATAACACACCGGGTCATTGTGTTCAGACTACAGGGGAAGTTGGAGTAGGAGGCACACACACACACGAGCGGGGCTACAATTGTTTTGTGAAATTTTACACGTGTCAATGCAGTGTTTGCGACTCGGCAACTCAGGCACGGCTGGGTTACAAGTCATCTGTTGTGCATGTGCATGGGGTCAATTGGAACACTCCGGTCCAGTGCTTCTTCAGTGCACGGTTGAGTGGACAAGCTTCGGAGGATTGTATGTGAAGATGCAGTCTGAATTGAAATATCTAAAACTCAACAATTGTGGAATGATAATTGATATCGGGCCTTCAATTTCATGTGCTCTCATTCAGCTGTAATCATGCGTCGTGACAATCATGCGAAACAAGAAAAAATACGATCTGAAATGAGTAATTTGAACAAGGTGGTGGGCAAGCGATTTGCGTGATTTGGGTTTGGTTGTGAGTCAACATGAATGTGGATAACAAAATTTGATAATGCTTTAGGTAAGTGAACTGGTTTAAACAAGGTGGTCAATGTGGTCTGGGGGGGGGGCTAGAGAAAGAATGGCCAGGTCACACATTGTGCTACGTTGAAGTGTGTGGTGATTGAACCCTCTCAGATGACACCAACCAAGTGCCTACAAATTACAGTTTCTAAACAACGAACCACAAGCCGATTGTCCTGACCAATCAGAAGTCGTGCGGCCCAGACAGGAGCTGTATGACGTCAATAATAGAAGCACGCGATCGATGGGTATCTGTGCAACCAATAAACTTCCGTCGTACATTGAACTGCTACTTCTGTGACCTTCTTCCTGTGTCTCGAGGACAGGAGATTCCAGCGTGCACGAGCTAGTGCGATTCAGCGTTCCAGTTGCGTCCGTGATTCGTAATCTGTGCCTACTTCAACTACTATAAGTGACCCTGCAATAACCGCGTGATTCACACAAACTGATTCATTCAATTGAGACCTCGAGGATTGCACAGTGCAAGAATGTACGGATTAATTGATTTGACTGACTATCCTTCGGACTTCACCTTCACGCACAATCCTCAGTTCATCGATTCAATCAAGCCTTGTAGGTATGTGGCAAGTCAGCCCATAACCTGCATGGAAGGCCTGACTTGGTGGGGGCTTTCGATTGGAGTTAACAGGTTGTACCTGTGTTTCCCTTCGTTGCTGTCGGGCAAATGAACTGACTATCACTGAGAGACAACACTTGAACAAATATGAATTGGCAATTCGGTCCAGCCATGGCATGAGCTGGTTGGCGCAGTGGTAACGCACACGCCTTCCATGCGATAGGTCCGGAGTTCAAATCCCGCACAGGACGGTGGAAATGCACTACTGATGAGCTCCAACAAGAGCTAAACTCCCGTCTAGTGCTTTGGAGTGTATGGTTGAATGAATGAACAGAGGGTTGGGCATGTGTGTTTGTTTGTGTGTGTGTGTGTGTGTGTGTGTGTGTGTGTGTGTGCAGGGTGTAAACGGGGGAAGGGTGTATCGTGTCAATCCGTGGTGTAATGCATAACGTTCGGGAGTGAACTTCGAATCTATCTTAACAACCAATGACTGCTTGGTGTGTGTGTGTGTGTGTATTAAATGATGTCATTTGGAAAATGAGACAGCAATGTCTGGCGAGAACAAAAGTGTTACATTACAGTAGTCCATGTATCCACTTTAGTAATGCATTGACGGACGTGAGCTACTCACATTAATACGCTCGCGATCGAAGCTATATCGGTCAGCGAGAGACAGCGACGGCCAAAAGCCTGCAAAACACGGTTCCTTTTCAATTATTCCAGATGATGTATGTGATTAAGTGCATATGTTTTATTCCAACGGATGAGTGAATAGTTGCAAGAATTTCATTGGAAGAACAATCCTGTGAAGAATAATTTTGCTTCACTGACAGCCAATGACAATGTAGTATGTAACTCAAGAAACAAGGCAGAGGGATGAGAAAACAAGCCTTTTCTGTTTGAATTGATGTGGGTAGTGGTAGGACGTGTGCGTGTAGTCAGTCAGTCAGTCAGTCAGTCAAGTCAAGTATTTGCTTTATGCACCCCGAAAGGTGGATATTCAGCAGTCACACAGTCATCTAACAATTATCGAACGAAACTATTACATGATTATCGTGAGCAGTGAAAATGAATACAATTTACGAGATAACTGAGTAAAGGTCCGAAGCAATGCTTTCTGCGCTGACAAGAAATCGGGCAAAATAGAGCGCCACGGAAGACCGATAAGCGGTCGTACGAGCAAATATACACTTATAACGGGACCGGGTGGAAGAGGAGGAAACACACTTGATAAGATCTTTATGTAATGGATGTGAAGGGTTATCCATGATTTTTGCTGATAACGAAAAACATAACTTTATATGTTGGGAAATGATGAAGTGACAGATCGTTTCACGGGAAATCCCACTGCTTCTTGATAGATGTGTTAATTATCTGGAAAGCAGTTT